TGTTTATTTAAAATTTATTTAAATTATATGTTAAAGTTTTCGTAATACAACGTACGATTGATATGGATTGTGCTTAAATGGTTCCGCCCCTTGTAACCGAACTCCATTTCGAAATTCATTCCAAAATTCTTCACTAATTTTTATTTGTTCTTCTTTTGTTCGATCTTCTCTCAAACATCTTAATAAACTTGACTCTGACCAACTACGTACAAATTCTGTATATTTTTCAATAAATTCTTCCAAATTAATGTTTTTCTGATAATAATCTTGATAGATTGGATTTTCTAATAAATGTAAATCAGCACAAATCAATTCTAAATTAAGTTCTTTAAGAAGAGTAGGATCAGTTTCTTGTTCCAAGCTACGATAATAAACTAGTATATTATAGTTTAATAATTCATCTTCATCAAGAACAGTTACAGCTGATCGATAAAGAGTATGAAAGATTGGAAGAATACCAGTGTCGTTTACATCAATACGACTTGGGTTGACACAAGCCAGAACAGCACCTAAAATAAAATTGCAGACGAAAATCATGATGATATAATCTGTCAGATAAGAAATAATGAGAAAGAAATATTATCAAAAAGAGAAAAATAAGATGTTCTCTCATATTTTTTATGTCATTATCTATTGCAAAACAGAACTGTCGATGAACAGTAAATAGATGAATTATCGCTATACAGTGTAATGTCAAATATTTAGTAAATCGCTCATATTCACTACGACTTCATTTATAATTCACGCATCGTCACTTACACATACGTTCAAAAAACATATTACCATCTCCTCCTTTTGATATCTCTAATCACTAACCTTTTTTCAGCTCATTCGATCGATGTTGTAAAAATAGTCTATAATCTTCAGCTGCTTGTGTTGACCACAGTTTTAGTTCTTCAGCTGATGATTTTCCACCTAAAGCATAACAGTGTTCACGAAGATTACATGGTTTCTTTGAAAGCCAATGTGTTGCTGATGATGTATAACCAAATTGAACTGTATTCGATGGTAGAATTTGTTGATAAAATGATTTACCAGATGCAAGACTAGTCACAGATGATTGTGATGCAACTTGAAATACTGCTGACCAATCATTTTGTGGTAGATCATTGTAAATGACACTAATTTGATTCTCTATATCTAAGCCATATTTTTGTGTTAGTGCTTTGATAATTGCTTGAATTGCTATAAATGAATTTGCACCATGTGCACAACCATAGTCAACAATAAAAAAGATATCTGTTGAGCTAAATTTAGCTTTATGCTCTTCAACAGCTTTCTGAATATAGCTAAATGATTTATGTATAATAGCTAGTTGAGGTGCACTATTAAGATTATAATGCTGATTTTGTTTCATAACATTTGAAGTTTCCATTGTCAATTAATAAAATAATGGTAAACTGATGTTTATGTTTGTATATCTTTTCTTTCGTTCGTTCGTGCGTTCGTACTTATCTTTTGATTATCTTTGTTTTTGTGTTTCTCTTCTTTGTGCATATAACATATATAGGTACAATATAAATGGCTATCTATATAGAGTGTGATCACATAGAGGGCGTGGATATTCATGGAGAGATTAATAAAGTCGTATATACCCAGGTCGTTATAGTAGGTTTGATTATATTTATTAATCAAGAATGTGTTAGATATTTCTAAGAGCATCGAGTAATAAAAGATATTCAATAATTATCAATTTGTTATATTCTATAGTTTACCAAGTGTTAAATGAAATGAGGTTACGTGTGAATGTGTAGGAGGATGTTATATTCATTCTATAACAACGTCTAAATCACTCAAGTTAGTGACGTCAGTCTAAAGCTAATTCGTAAAATTATACAAACATATCGGTTTTTAAAAGTACCGAAAGGTCAATCTATTGCTGACGATAATTCTGTAAGAGTCATCAGTCAGTTTTTCGTTACGAATATCATTATCAGTAACACGTAAAAGTGGTCGAAAGCGGTGTGTAATAGCAGGAGATAGGATAAACAGACTCATAAAAAACACTCAAAACCAGATATGAATTGAATGTAACGTTAGTCTTAGTAGTATTTTAGGTTGTTGTTTTCGAGATTATTATATGCTCAGATTTGCACGTGTTAAAACTGTCGAGATAAATATTTCGTTTAGTATCGCGAAGTATTGATTTTTGTATCTGGGAGTGAAAAACAGGCGGCAAAAGCGAAGTGTACAAGAACTAAAAAAAGGTGTATTGATCAATCTGTTATTTTTCACATAAGAACATACATAGATTACTTCAAGTATTTAAAGTTAAAAAATACAATTCAAAATTAGGAAAAAAAATGGATTTGAAAGTGCTATTAGTATTTACACTTGGATGTGTACTAGTTTCTACTATTACTGGTAGGCTTATATTTTTACATTAAAATTCTTTTTGCATCTTCAAATCTAAAGTAAAACTTTTATTTTTTTTTGTTTGCAGCTCATATGGCAGCTTGGTCGAAAGGCATGTACTGTATGAAGGTATGTTAGGAAAAAGATCATTGAAATACTATAGTTTACGATAAATGCTTTTTATCCTTCTCGTAATATGATCTCTAGTATTGATTGCCTAAGTTAATGTTCTTTATAGGGACGTGGAGGTGAAGACAACATAAATAATAACTTACCTGTAAATCCATTGGTTGATCTCACTCAAAAGGACTGGTGGTTCCAACATTATCAAGGTTGTGACAAAGAACCACCAGCTGACGGTGACTATCTTGAACTACCAGCTGGAGGTTCGTTCAATGTTGAAATTGCCACTAATCGTGCTTTCACAACTTTTGGTCATGACAAAAATTTTAATGGATATTTTGGTGGTCCACAACAATTAGAATATACTCCTTGGGGTTGTGTTTCCTATCCTAACTTACACACACCAAATCAAACTGCAGCACCAGGAACAGTTTTTGCTATCTCATATCAAAATAGTATCGATAAAGTTACACCGGAAAATTTAGTTGTTTTTACTGTACGATATAAAACTCCCTGGCAAAGAGTAACATCGTACGATGTACCAAAAGATTTACCTCCATGTCCTCCAGGTGGTTGTACATGTGCATGGGGGTAAGTAAAGTTTTTCATATTTTATAGTTCATTAAAATTATTTTTCTTTGATATCAGCTGGGTTCCTATGGGTTGTGGACAACCGAACATGTATATGCAAGGTCATAAATGTATAGTTACTGGTTCAACTTCTACAAAGAAACTTGCTGTAGCTAAACCTCCAGTTTATTGTGAACATGATCGTTCAAAATGTGTAAAAGGAGCAAAACAAATGGTCTACTATTATCAAAAAGATGGTAATAACGTGTTTAATGTTCCAGTAATGCCAACGTACAATGAAGTTATGGGCTTTGCAGAAGGTGCACAGAATGATATTTTCGAAGACTCTGATTTAACGTCGAATATAGGTTAAATCTATGTTTTTTGTGTATCAGTAATAAAAGTCTGTAGCATATCTATGTAAAAAAATAGATTATCAAAATCAATTATAATGGCACTATTATAACCTGTTTTTTTGTAGTCTTTTTGTTTACATGGGTAGCGAATAAATTGAAACCGATAAAACATATATCAATGGTAATACTAGCAGAAAAGGTATTAAGATAAAGGGACTATCATTCAAAAAGTAAATTTTGGATATATTTTCACCTTCAATTCTATTCTCCACTTATGCAAGGGAAATACTCAAAGTTCGGTAAAAAAAGATACTATCTTTAATTGAGAACAAAAAGCTCAAAATAACTAATCATCATCGAGGATCTGCTAGGTTTAGCCCTCTACATATTATTAGATATCAACGATATAAAGCATACTAATAAACTTATCAAGTAAATGTTCGTTCTGTATGGACGTGTGCATTGTTTATTTCCCTATTTGGTTTTCATTATAATGATTATACTAATAGCTGAAGATATTTTCGGTTTAGAATATTCTCATTAAGAATCATGAGTTTAGTTCATTGATTTAGTTCTAGTTTTATCTCCATCAGTTTTTGTTGTTCTATCAATAAATACTATGTTTATGATATATGTGAATATCTGAATGAAGTATTACTGAATAATTTACCATACACGTTCTCAAATAGATAACACCAAACAATAATATAATAAGCTTGAATCAGAGGATGAAAAAATCCCTCAAGTTTTATCGATTTATCGTTTAATTTTACTATTAGAAGTAGAAATTTGTCATATAGGTATTTTAGATGATAAAGTAAATAGAATAATAAAGAATAAAAATTAAAAAAAAATAAGTTAAAAAAGAAAATGAAGTTAATTTTAAAGTGTTTATTTAAAATTTATTTAAATTATAAGTTAAAGTTTTCGTAATACAACGTACGATTGATATGGATTGTGCTTAAATGGTTCTGCTCCTTGTAACCGAACTCCATTTCGAAATTCATTCCAAAATTCTTCACTAATTTTCATTTGTTCTTCTTTTGTTCGATCTTTTCTCAAACAACTTGTAAAACTTGACTCTGACCAACTAAGTACAGATTCTGTATATTTTTCAATGAACTCGTCGAAATCAATATTTTTCTGATGGTAATCTTCATAGATTAGATTTTCTAATAGATGTAAATCAGCACAAATTAATTCAAAATTAAGCTCTTTAAGAAGAGTAGGATCAGTTTGTTCTTCCAAACTACGATAATAAACTAGTATATTATAGTTTAATAATTCATCTTGATCAAGAACGGTGATAGCTGATCGATAAAGATTATGCTCGGTTCCAAGATAACCAGTTTCATTTATATTATTACGGCTCAGATTGACACAAACAAGAACAGCACCTAAAATAAACTGCAGATGAAAATCTTGATGATATAATCTGTCAGATAGGACATAGTACAAAAACAAAGGAGAAATATTTCTTATATAAGAACTGTAGAAAGTAGCTTGAATGGGAAATATATACTATGAAAAAAAGAAAGATAAGGTGTTTTTTTACTTTTTTAAAGTCATTGTGTATTGAAGGACAAAATTGCTGAATAGTAGAAAAAACAGATTCTTGCTACATAGTGAGTAGTAAATCGATCATGTTTACTACGATTTCAACTATAATTCATGGATCGTTATTTATAGATATGTTCAAAAAAGATATTATTATTTCCTCGTCTTTATATCACCGAACACTAACCTCGTTTCAGTTCGATGGATCGATGTTGTAAAAATAGTCTATAATCTTCAGCTGCTTGTGTCGACCACAGTTTTAGTTCTTCAGCTGATGATTTTCCACCTAAAGCAATACAATGTTGTTGAAGATTACATGGTTTCTTTGAAAGCCAATGTATTGCTGTTGATGTATAACCAAACTGAACTGTATTTGATGGTAGAATTTGTTGATAAAATGATTTACCAGATGCAAGACTAGTCACAGATGATTGTGATGCAACTTGAAATAATGCCGACCAGTCATTTTGTGGTAGATCATTATAAATGACACTGATTTGATTCTCTATAGTTAACCCATATTTTTGTGTTAGTGCTTTGATAATTGCTTGAATAGCTACAAATGAATTTGCACCATGTGCACAACCATAGTCAACAATAAAAAAGACATCTTGTGAGTTAAATTTAGCTTTATGCTCTTCAACAGCTTTCTGAATATAACTAAATGATTTTTGTATTGCAGTTAGTTGAGGTGTACTATTAAGATTATAATGCTCATTTTGTTTCATGACATTTGAAGTTTCCATTGTTGATTAATAAAATAATGGTAAACTGATGTTTATATTTGTATATCTTTTCTTTTGAATAAGAAATAGACTGAGGGATGAAATTTATACTTTTGTCTTTTCTGTCGTTCATTCGTTCTTATCTTTTGATTATCTTTATTTTTGTGTTTATCTTCTTTGTGCATGTAACATCTACAGGTAGAATATAATTGGCTTCATATAGTGTGGTCACATAGAGGGCGTCGACATTCATGGAGAGATTATTTGAGTCATATATACATATATAAAGGGAGTTTTTCATAAGTTTCGACCCCCCGTTTCTTTTTTTTCTTGTTTTTCAGATTCCATCGTAGGGTGATTTCCAAAAGGGATTATGAAAGGCCCACACTCACACTTTCAAGTGGAAAGAAATTCATTCTATTAACCGTAGTTTTACGAGAAAATCACGTCGATCAAAATTGTGAGAAATTTTCTCAACGTGCATTATTTACTTTTTGTATATTAGATGAGTTTTCCTTTAAAACAAAAATGACAAATACATCTTGTTTTATTATGAAAATCAATTATTACAAGAATCATAAATGTCGATAAAAAAATCAACAATTGTTCTTAAGAGTCTGCGGCCGCGTTGTTGAATCACTGCTCGTAATCTGTTTAAAATACTAAACATCATTCGAAAACATAAAATAGAAAAAAAAATTACCACCAATTGATTAGATGATATTTTTGAAGGATGCTAAAGCGAACAATGTGCTTATTGTCTATTGCATATTTGTATAAGGATCTTCGCAAATTCCTGAGAATAAGGATATCAAGGCCATGATTTTGATTTTTTATTCGATTCGTTATGACAGTGTAATGCTCTTGATTACATAGTACACACGTACTAATGCGTGATCTTTCATGTGAGTGCAATGCCGCAAAAGGAACAAGGAAGATACCTCGGGTTGTTTGGATTAATACACAGGTGTTTTTTCGTAATAATAATACACAAAAAGTAAGAAATACACGTTGAGCAAATTTTTCACAATTTTCATCGATGTGGTTTTCTCGTAAAACTATTGTTAATAGAATGCATTTTTTTCCACTTGAAAGCGTGAGTGTGGGCCTTTCATAATCCCTTTTGAAAATCATCCTACGATGGAATATGACAAAACAAGAAAGAAAACAAAAAGAGGGCCGAAACTTAGGAAACACCCTTTAGGCCCAATAGCTATGCTACTATCATCGCTGAACATTTAAGAAAAATTGAAAATATCTAACCACCATCGAGCATCTTCTCGGTTTAGCCCTCTACATATAATTAAAGCATACTAACCACCCTCTCAAGTAAGTGTTTGTTATATAGTGACGTGTGCATCGTTTATTTATCTATTCGGTTTTCATTATAATGATTATATTAAACTATTGAATGGATTTATACTAATAGCTGAAGATGTTTTCAGTTTATAATATTCTCATTAAGAATCATGAGTTTAGTTGATTGATTAAGTTCTAGTTCTATCTCCATCAGTTTTTATTGTTCTAGCAATAAATACTATCTTTATGATATATGTGAATATCTGAATGAAGTATTACTGAATAATCTACCATGTACACTCTCAAATAGATTATACCGAACAATGATATAATCAGCTTGAATCAGAGGATGAAAAAATCTCTCAAGTTTTATCGATTTATTCTACTAGTATAATTAGAATTTTGACACATTCATGTTGTCGACGATAAAGCAAATAGAATAATAAAGAATAAAAATTAAAAAAAAATAAGTTAAAAAAGAAAATGAAGTTAATTTTAAAGTGTTTATTTAAAATTTATTTAAATTATAAGTTAAAGTTTTCGTAATACAATATATGATCGGTATGGATTGTGCTTAAATGGTTCTGCTCCTTGTAACCGAATTCCATTTCGAAATTCATTCCAAAATTCTTCATTAATTTTCAGTTGTTCTTCTTCTGTACGATCTTTTCTCAAACATCTTAATAAACTTGACTCTGACCAACTACGTATACATTGTGTATATTTTTCAATAAACTCTTCGAAATCAATGTTTTTCGAATGATACTCTTCATAGATTGGATGTGGTAATAAATGTAGATCAGCACAAATCAATTCAAAACTAAGTTCTTTAAGAAGAGTAGGATCAGTTTGTTCTTCTAAGCTACGATAATAAACTAGTATATTATAGTTTAATAATTCATCTTGATCAAGAACGGTGATAGCTGATCGATAAAGATTATGGTAGATTGGAAGATTACCAGTATCATTTGAGCTATTACGACTGAGTGTGACAGAAACAAGAACAGCACCTAAAATAAATTTACAGACGATAACATTGATGATATAGTTTGTCTTAGACGAGATAGTACAAAAACAAAGGAGAAATATTTCTTATATAAGAAGTGTAGAAAATAGCTTGAATGAGAAAGAGACATTGCCATCTCCTCCTCTTTATATCACTAAATACTAACCTTCTTTTAGTTCAGTAGATCGATGCTGTAAAAATACTCTATAATCTTCAGCTGCTTGTGTCGACCACATTTTTAGTTCTTCAGCTGTTGATTTTCCACCTAAAGCAAAACAGTGTTGTTCAAGATTACATGGTTTCTTCGGAACCCAATGTATTGCTGTTGATGTATAACCAAATTGAACTGTATTTGATGGTAGAATTTGTTGATAAAATGATTTACCAGAAGCAAGACTAGTCACAGATGATTGTGATACAACTTGAAATAATGCCGACCAATCATTTTGTGGTAAATCATTGTAAATGACACTAATTTGATTCTCTATAGTTAACCCATATTTTTGTGCTAGTGCTTGGATAATTACTTGAATAGCTACAAATGAATTTGCACCTTGTGCACAACCATAGTCAACAATAAAAAAGACATCTTGTGAGTTAAATTTAGTTCTATGTTCTTCGACAGCTTTCTGAATATAACTAAATGATTTTTGTATTGCAGCTAGTTGAGGTGTACTATTAAGATTATAATGCTGATTTGGTTTCATGACATTTGAAGTTTCCATTGTTGATTAATAAAGTAATGGTAAACTGATGTTTATATTTGTATATCTTTTCTTTTGAATAAGAAAAGACCGAGGGATGAAATTTATAAACTTTTGTGTTTTCTTTTGCTCGTTCTTATCTCTTGATTATGTTTATTTTTATGTTTCTCTTCTTTGTACATATAACATATATAGGTACAATATAAGTGGTTCTATATAGTATGATAACATAGAGGGCGTGGATCCTCATAGAGAGATTATTAAAGTCATATATATCCAATCCGTCATAGTAGCTTTTGATTATATTTATCAGCCAAGAATGTGTTAGATATTTCTAAGAGCATCGAGTAGTGAAAGATGTCTGATAATTGAAATCACCAAATGTTTTTAGTTAAATTAAACATAGATTTAAAAGTTTTAATTTTAATCAGAAAATAAATTAGCTTACTGATTAAAATATTATTTTTAGTAAAAAATGCTTGAGGAGTTCAAAACTAGACTTTATTTAAATAAATATTCATCGAAATTATGAATACAAATGAATTATGGGCAATATTTTGACAAATAACAGGTTTGATATTAAAAAAAATATTCAACGTTTCTTCCAAAACAATAAAGTGTCTTTTGTTTTCGTTAATAGGTTCCTATAATAAAAAAATACACAAAATATATAAAATACGATCGATACGGCTTGTAGTTGAAATGAATATCAAAATGCATACCTGATGGTTTCTTGACTAATGTTGCTCCTAAAATAAAGCCAAGAATTACTACAACGTATAAAATCGTTGAAAAGCACATTAGAAAAAAATTAATCTCTTCTTGAGATCTTAGTGATGTCCTGAAGATTTGATGAAACTTACTTATATCTTGGAAAAATCGCTGCATCTAGGTATAGAAATATTTTAGTACAAAACAAACTACTGAAAATGATTAAAATACCTTTAAATGGAGGTTCAAGTGACATGTCTTCCGGTATCATCTGTTTCAAACAAATGATTTGAAGATCTGGTGATGGACAGGTATTCGATATTACCTCTATATATGTTCCCGGTAGCATTAAAATTTCTTCCTTATTATTAAAATGTGAATGAGCGTATATATTCCTACCATTGAAGATTTCGATAGAGAGGAGAGTTCTCTCACCTTCATTGCCCATATAGAAATCACTTTCTAACAGTGTAAGTTCTGTTGTGCAAGATGAGAAAGTCCGCCACATCACTCTAGCGCCTAGCGTATACCCATCACTAATGTTTTTCCGCACTCCAAGCCAGGCTGTTCGTGGAGGTACTGACGGTAATTTTGCTATAGCAGTGAGAAAAAGTTTGAGATATTTGAACCATGGTTGTAAGTCTTTTCGATCAGCTGTTTTGAGAGTGCTGTTGAGAATAGAATAGAGGCTGCGATGTGTGTCAGGCCACTCCATTGTGTAAAGACGAATCGAAGCTGATTCATCACGAGTCAAACCATCAGCTGGGTGATTTGGAGTATGTTCCAACGCAATCGAAACATATGTAAATATATCGTAAACAATGTCAGTCAATGGTGTACATGCGTCAGCAAGTGGAAGAAGTGGTTCTTGGGCGTAGCCGATGATAGGACCAAGTGTTTTTGAATTGTCGGAATCATTAATTAGCAAGTGGGAGTTTCTACGACGAGACTGTACGTTAACGTTCTCAGCCATTGTACCAAACAATTGTTTTGTTAGCGAATGATTAAGTGTATTTATTATCTGCAGATATAGAGAAACGTCGATGATTGACTAGAACTATTTATATTAGATGGAATCTTTTACTGTATCAGATAGTGAAAATGTGAACCAGAGAGTGATACTGAAACACGATATGAAACAGCATTATGCGTCCTTTCGACTCATCAACAAAAGCGAAAGTATGAACTATAGAAAAACATATAACGGACTGTTGCCTACGCTACTTTGTGCTGCAATATTTATTCATTAAATACTGTGCGAAAAAAATACAATAGCGAAACTGACTGTATTACTGTAATGTGTTATGACCTTCATGGACAAAAATAGATGCAAAAGAATGTATCATTTTGTTGGGCTTGCTACAACGCTATTGATGCATGACATAACTCATATAAGCCAGATAAAATATCGTTCTTTTCTTTTATTCATTCTAAAGAAAAAGACACTCAATATTTATATGATTCATTCTCTTATCCATTTTTATTCATAATATATAACTAGTTTTATGTGTTTGCAATGGATAGAGGTTATTCTAAACGTTTTTTTTTCAGAAAGCGAAGTTTTAAGTCTCATACCTTTGTTTGTTTTGTCATTGCTCTGAACAAAAAATACTGATGTGTAGTCTAAAAGTGTTCTTTACATATCTGTCTAAAAATCTCTAAAAAATTACGTTGAAAGTACATGCTTTATAATTGAGACAACTATTGCGATTAGAACATTTGCATTGGCACTTGATGTTCTTATAAGTTTGATTAGAACATAATCTATTAGTTCAAGCAACAAGAAACTATGTTTTATTTGTTCCATCAAATTTCGATTCTATCATCAACATATATTCACCAGAGACATCCATCGCGGCTGGAAATCAGTACAGAATAGTAACCGATTACAACTCTGAATCTACCGTAGTAGCACCGTCTCCATAGATATCTACGAATATCTTTCTCGCATTTAACAGTGATGTCAATCATACGATTTATTAGATGTAAAAAATTTCGAATTTTCATTCGATTAAACTTTAATTTTATTATAAAAATTTTATTTTATATAACAAAAACACAAATAAGAATTAAGATTAATTTCTTCCAATCCACATAAATAATTTTGGTGCTTTTGTATCAATACCTTCAATACAATAAATCGAATTTAATTTATGTGATTCTTCTTCAATTAAATTCTTAAAATATTCACGATCATTTACCGATGATAAATAAATATTTACCATTGATAATTGTTTTAATTGATTCAATAAAAATACTACATCCATCGACTCCATCATATAACATACAAGTTGCTCAATATTAACAAAAACTTCACAGAATCTATTCATCTCATTTCTATTATTAAACAATGGATAATCATATTTTAAAATATCTAATTTTCTAATCATTCTATTTAAATATATACATAATTCATCATTATTTAATAATAACATTAAATCTTTTGGATTAATCGTTAACCAAGTTAATTTCGATGATTGTTTTAATATTTCTACCAATAACGATGATGGTAACATATTTCCATATTCGGAAATATTTAAATGTTTTAAATTCGATAAATTAACAATCCTATTTAAATAATGCATATCAATAAAATTTTTATTTCCTTTGGTCATCAGTAATTCTAATGTTTGAATATTTGAAAAATAATATAGACATTCATTATTAATAACATCATCATATAAACTTACATTTTTCACTTTATTAAATACATTCGAATGTTTTTCTTTCGAGCATCTTTTTGTATCTAAAGTTAATTTCAATGTATCTGATAAATATGGTATTGTATAAATAAACATATAATATTTTTCTACTGAATATTCCGTATACCAATGATGTTGTTTACACCAAAAATCATTTTGAAAACCATGAATTTTATTTAAAATTAATTTGTCTGCATATTGACGACTACATCCGAATTTAAATTGAAAATTTTTTAAATAAATTAATGATGTGTGTATTAATTTCTCCCATTTAGACGCATTTAACATACTAATATTATCTTTTGTATAGATTATAAAATTTTCTAAATTGGGTATTTGTTGAATAAAAATTTTTAAATCATCAAAATTATATTTAAATAAACCAATGGATAATTGTTTTAAATGTATACCGGAATATTTTTCCAAAATTTCATCTGTTTTTTTCAATGGGTAGTTATATGGTGAAAGAAATCGTAGATTTAAATATTTTAATAATGGAAAATATTTAAATAAATCATAGAATAAATTTTCTAAAGAACAACTAAAAATTGTTAAATTTATAATATTGAAAGTTTCAGATAAACGTGTTTGAATTGAATGAAATGATATGATTGATAATGTTCGTAAATTTGCCATTGAAATGGTATTTATTATTTCGAAATCATCAATTAAATGGGAAGTTATATGAAATGATGATAAATGTGATAAGGATGGTAACATTAATTTTAATTTTATGATATTTTGTTGATTGATTTCAGTTAATGTTAATGATTGAAGATTTGTAAAATCATTAAGGGAAAAATACGTGAGAAATCGGTCGATTTGACCACATGTATCTTTGTTTGATAAGTATAATGAATAGATTTGGTGTTTGATTTCGGGATTTGAACATAGAGTTGTACATAATTGATCAAATATTTTTTTATGGGTATTTTGAAAATTAAGTTGATATGGAATATTTTGAATAAGTTTTGATAAACGAATATTTAATCGATCTAATGAATGAAATATTTCGAATATACTTAAATATTTGAAACATATGATGAGAATTTCGTTGGGTAAGTATTCGAATTTCATTCGATTCTCGATATCATTCATCATTGAATGAATTTAGATAAGTGAATGATGAGAAGAAAGGAACAGTGTAATGCTATGATTCATATAGATAAGACAATGAATTGTTTATTATTCGTTCATCGAAGAAATTCAGATAGATGACGTGTTGTTTATTTTCATTGATAAGGAACGAAATTAAACTGATAGAAAAAAAGAAGAAGCGATAATGATGGAATAATTCGTTTTTACATTTTCGAACTCTAATAAATAAATTAAATATAGAAAATAATATAATCAATACGAAAATTTTCGATCATTATCAACTAAAAAAACACAAAATGATGTTATAAATACTTTTATTAGATTTTGCATTAAATTTCATGGTTTACGTTATTTTTCAAACGATGATACGGTACTCATAAATAACATTTTTTAGTTCTGAAGAGTAGAAACATTAGACTATGTGAATAACATGTCTGCGATAGATAATTGTTTCTTTTTAGCTCATAGAATTATATTTGAGGAAAATACTTTAGCATGTAGACTTGTATCCTTGCTATTATATAGTTCGTTTGATCTATACAATCTTCAAGATGAAAGTTAGTGGCAATTCAATAGAATGGATATGTTTTTTTTTCTAAATGTAGACATGCAATATTAGCTATATCAACCACAATTGAAAAATGATTTTCAAGTAAAGGATTGTTATTTAATCTATTTTATGTAATAAACATCAATCCGATGTAAGTTAATAATGTACGCTTGCTATAATCATTACACAGGTTAAAATAAACGTTTGAAGAGCATTGTTACAAATTAAATGTATATTCTATGACGATTGCTCATTCTACATAAGAAGATTACACTTTGTATTTATCTCATAGTATAGAATATTACTCGAGTACAGATTTCATATTTTTCTCATAACCATTTTGCAACTACAGTGTTGAACACAAAGTTCTCTTAATTTCTCGCCTGTACTCACTACTTGCAAGGTTCAATGTGTGTCAAGTATGTATGACCTGACACTTTAAGTATAAGAATATCTCGTATCATGACGATGATATCAAAGCAGAAATCATATCTATCTTAAGAATTTCTTTTATTGAAGAAAATATTATAAACAATCTTTAGTCTATAGAGTTCCCAGTCCAAATACATAGATCCGTCTTACATAATTCTGCAGGACCATCGGTATATACTTGAATATAATTGATACGATATATTAAATTTATTTTAACTGCTTCGTTTGTAAACCAAGTAAATAAATCCTCTGAATTATCAGTAGATGTTACAAATATTTTAATACTTGATAATTTTAATGATTGATTTAATAAAATTAAAAGTTGATCCGATTGATTCATACCACATGTTAATTGTTCAAGATTAGAAAATATTTTACAAAACTGTTCAACTTCATTTAAATTCCCAAATGAATTATGTCCATATTTATGTATATTTAATTTTTTAATCATTTTTTTTAAATAATTACATAATTCATTATCATTAAACATTATTGATAATATATATGGATCAATTGTCATCGATGATAAATTTGATGCTTTACGAAATATTTGTAATAGAGAATATGTTTCAATTATAGAACATGATGATATATCTAAATAAGTTAAATTGTATAAATTAACAATTTTCATAAGAGATTCTATATGTTTTGCTTTTAATATATTATCATCATCGTGCATTAAATTAATAAATGTTGACTCTAATTTTAATGATCGAATATTTGAAAAATAATAATAACAATTATCTGCTATTGCTTCACAACACATTGTTAAATTTGTTACATTATCAAATACACTTGAATTATTAATTAATTTAATCGAATCTTTTGCAGTACATCGTGTTAATCGATATGTATTTGATATATAAGGTATTGTATAAATAACTGCTGAATTTGAATCTAATATATATTCGATATACCATTTATGTTGTTTACACCAAAAATCATTTTGAAATTCTTTAAATTTATCAATAATATCATGACGTACTTTACCTCGACAAAATAAACCGAATGTAAATTGAAAACTATTTAAAGAATGTAATGAAGATTGAATTAACTTTTCCCATCGATGTGCATCAATCATACAAATATTATCGATAGCAGAGAGGGTTAAAGATTTTAAATTAGGTATTAATTTGATAAATATTTCAAATTCTTCGTATGTACATTCACAATTATCAATTATTATTTGTTTTAAATTTGTACCATAATAATGTATAGAACATTCATTAGTCGTAATCGGATGAGAAGATTTATAAATATTATGAGTATGAAAATATTTTACTAATGGCATATATTTAAATAATTGATAAGATAATTGTTCAGGAGTACAACTAAATATTGTTAAATGTGTAATTATTAAAGGTTGATTTGTATGTGTTAATAAAGCTTGTAATGATGGTATGGCTAATGTTTGTAAATTTGATAATGGAAGAGCAGATAATATTTCATTTTCTTCTGTTTTCAAATCGAAAACATCGATTAAATGAAATGAATGTAAAGTTAATATAAATGGTAACATTAGTTTTAATTTATGAACATTCGTTTTTTCAATTTGAATTAATGTTAATGATCGAAGATGAGAAAATTCTTCAAGTGAAAAAAAAGATAGAAATAAATCAATTTGTCCACATGTATCTTTATTTGATAATATTAATGAATAAATTCGTTCTTTAATAATTGGATTCAATTTTAATAGTGTACAAAATTGATCAAATATTGTCTTTCGACAATATTCAAAATTTAAATGTAATGGTATATTTCGAATTAAACTGTATAATCGAATATTTAATTGATCAAATGAATAAAAAATTTCAAATGCATTTAAATATTCAAAGATTTCGATCAAAATTTCATTTGGTAAAGACTCCAGTGTCATCATAGTTAGTAATGTATTTATAACAACCACACTTCTAAAACTATATATAAATTGACATCTAAAATACAAACAATATACTTATGTGTTTAGTATAATCGATAAAGCGAAAATATTTTATAACCAACGCAATATATCGTTTCGTATATTGATAATAATTTCTTTTTGTATTGTTACCTTGTTGATTCACGTGATATTACATATTCGATGTATCGTAGAAAAATAGAACATAACAAATGATGTATGAGCCAAAACGTTACCGATAAATATTTTTATACCTAGAGTAATATCGTTTCTATTATAATATCATACAAAAGAAATAAATGAGTGTGTTATGAAATAGAATAGTAACGAACAAAATTAAAAGTATAGACATAAGAATATTAAAATAAAACACAGTATTTTACTATCTTAACCATATGAAATTATCATCCTCTTCTTTATCAAAATTTCAATACATAGACACGATAAATCAAATCAAGTAAGAATTCACTGCTGTAACATTTATCGAAAGACTTTCATCGATATATAACGTCTGTTATTCGCCCACATATTGCCACTATTAATAATGCTGTAGATTAGTAATGAAATAATAGACTCTTTATCTTCATAAGTGAATTGCAAAGAAAACATTTTAGAAGACTAAACAATATTTGCTCAAAGTCTATGATATTCTATATGAATTAAGTTATTCAGATATGAATGATTCAGCTTATGAATCAGTTTATGTAAATCCAAAAGTAAGATCAAACTTTAACGGATAATAGTTTAATTTCTATTCAACAAGCATTTTGATTAAGAAATATTTATATTTCAGATAATTATATACTTATAGTATGAATAAGTCTTTAACTTTCATTAAAATGTTAATGTCTGTTCCTTGGGAACTTGTATCGTATATATTTTATTTATATCCCAATGGTATATTCAGAAATCGTTTTATAAATGAGAAAAAAAGTAATGCCCTGAAGGCTGATTACAGTTCGTCATATATGATACTAATAAATAATGCTGTAAAAGCAATGTTTAAGTTTATCATCGTTTTTTTATTATCACAAAAAAAGATGTATTGATAAGCTACAAACAAATAAGTTCACATTTTTGATAGTAAATATGTCATCATCCATATTGCCACTTTTACAAGCTGAATTTATTCGTTATGAAATGTCAATTAGTTCAATATTAAGTTTCATTGGTAATATCATAGTGTTTAATCCACGTTGTCAAAATTCATGTGCTATCTATTTATCAGTCTCTTTTTCTTTGTAAATCACGTATTTATTTTGCTGCTAAATATCTAATGGTATGTACTTTTCTTACAAAGATCGATAAATAATGAATATGAATTATTTTTTATTCAAATAATTGTAATATCAGCACAGAAAATATTGAGATAAGTAGATCTGAATAGCATCGATCTGTTTAGAAATATCAATTCTGTGATTAATTAGAGTCTTATTATATATAAAAATCAAAGGTTTTGAATACATAAAAGAAACAAAAAAAAGCCTTTGGATATGAATGAATAATCAGTATATATTATCAATAAAAACTGGCATAGAATATATTCTCAGTATTCATTTTGATATCAACATCGAATCATCATTATGATTTTTACTCTTGCGATTATCTTCATACTTGTCAATCCTGTTCACATGTACTATACATGTGATTGTTATTGTCCAACTCGAACATATCATGTTGGAACAGCATTATCTTTTACATGTTCTTCATCGGCTTGTTCAAGAGCATGTTTAGGTAGTTTTGTTCATCCGAGATCATGTTCATCACCAATAAGAACTTATGGGTTTGTATAAATAAATATAAAATTACTAATTGTACTATCTATTTATTTATTTTTTGTAGAGCTTGTCGAAAAGGACAAATATAAAATAATATATTTCAATACTTGCTTGTATTTGGATTAAATTTAAAAATTCCGTATATAATTTTTTGATTTCTCCATATTCATTCATTCATCGCTTTTGTGCAATGAAAAATCAATTATATTTTATTAAATTTAAATAAATCTATCATTAACAAACAGAACTTTTTTAATATGTAAATATTTCAAAGGCGGTATGAACATAATATATACATATAGGTTAGGTACATGACTTTTATTTTTTTTAAATATATAATTCTAATAATCACGAAACAATGACTTGGATTATTTTAATAAGACTTGTTTTTATAGATCATCAAATATCTTTAGTTATATCAAAAGAATAGATAAATATACGTTGTAATCATTTCGAGGGTTATTCTATGTTTTCATTGGTATAAGAGAAAGAGAAAGAGCGAAGAATTTAAAATATATAAACAGCTTTAATACACGATATATATATTCATTTTCTTCGTATATATTCTCGATTGCGTACACATACATTCGAGTGCACATCTATGGCTACTTTAATTCAAGCAACATGTTTTATGTTTCTATTAGGAATGGTTTGTAGTTGGCCATTTCCAATAATATTCGAACGACGTCTTCCAGTAACTTATTTTCATTCAAGTGTTGAAGAAGGTGCATCACCTTTATCATCATCATCAATATTAGAGGAAATGAATAAAATGATGACAGCTATGCATGAACGTTTTGATAAATTGTTTCATTCACCAACATATCCTTTTGATAATGCTGTTGATGCTGATGCTGATACTGATGCTGATGATAATAATGATTATGATTTATCAGGTAATGAAGATCAATTAGAATCAATTGATAAAGTAATACTTAATGAACAAAAAGTACATGTTATTGATGATTTAAATGAAATTAGAAAGAAATTAGATGCTGTTGAACCTGTTTGCACAACAATTACAAATACACCAACAACAATTTCACCAAGAAAAAGTCGACGAAAGAAACTTCCCGCAACACATACAACAACATGTATTAGAGAATTTATTTATAATGGACAAACACATATGTCAGAAGAGACAGATACAACTGATGATAAAGGTGTATTAATAAAACATACCAAAACTTATGATATTATGTCTATTGATGGAGATCAAATTAGACAATGATCGATACATATTATTAAAACTAATATTGATTTTATTGTCCATTAGAAAAGAAAAACATGGCTTTTTTTTATTGTTTTCAACATATTTTTAAACCTATTTAATAAAAAAGATTAAAAAATATATATGTATTTGGATATTTATTGTTCTTACTAATCAAACATATATTGATATATAATCGAATAGATCTCGAATTACATGCATAGACTACTAGACTCTTTTTCTTTAGTACATTGCAAAAAAACATTTTCTCTGGTTTCTCAATAGCTGTTTTTGTCGTCATATTCCTTAGACATTTCTTTAGACGAGACAACATATTTTTTACGCATGTCTACTATAACGTGACATATTCTATTGGTATTGCGACGATAAAAACAACAGTAATATGCTTTTATAGACTTCATCTGTCGACATTTTATTCGACTCTTCTCTTCTGTTGAAACTATTAGTACATTAACCGTTTCCGATCAGATTTTGTCGAATGGCAATATTTTGCCGTAGGGAGGTACGGCATTTTTTTCATATAGCCTTTTCAAAAAATCGTTCATGATGAATATTTAGCGCATTCTATGGTTCTCGATGTTTTGTTAACAGTATTTATAATGAAGGTCAGGTATTTTTTTTATAAATATCTTCACATTTAATAAAATATGACATTTTTGTTTTTCTCAGCCCAGGAACAAAAATTTCATATAGAATTTTACTGACTTACAATTGTCTCACTAGAAGTTAAAGTAGAAAAGAATTCTTTAAATGAAATAAGTATATTAAAAAAGAACAGACTTTATTCTTAAAGCACATGATATCTATTCTCTATCAATTCATTTGTTGATTAATAGAATGCTAAAGGACTTACCAGCTTCTAACAGCTTTATTCGATAAATCTACACAAAAAATGTTCATTCGACCGTGCGAAAACGATATTTTTTTTTGGTACAAGAATTTATTTTTTCTTATTTCATTGTTTTCTCACCTGATATTCTTTATTTAAAAAAAATAAAATATATCACAAGACGCAGCACGAAGAACTCTTCAATCTCCAATGTATAGCTGATTTTAACTGTATACTTCTTATTGCAAAAAAAAGCAGAACTGTGTGCGAACAATATTCATTGCGTCGAAAAAATTATTTTTTTTCTTATCTTATTTATTAAAAACACTGTTGTTTGTGAAGTATAAAGCTTTTCGCTCTGCATCGTGTGGTATATTTTTTTCTCAATAGAACGTGTTAAGTGATTGAAAATTGAAATACGAAACGTAACCATTAAACTGCCTCACGCATTAGTTACGTTTTACATAAAAATAGTTCTTATCTAAATGTTACTCTTTTGAGAGTAGATGAATAATAATCAAATAGTGTAGAAATGTAGAGCTTTGTTTTTAATATCCATCTACATAGTTCGTAGTGAATATCTACTAAATTTCTGTTAATTTTTGATCAAGTAAAGATTAGTAGATCTGAGAGTAAAAACATACTCTCAAAAAAGTACAGCTAAATTTAGTAACAATTCTATTGAATATTCGAATTGAAAAGTGTTTTCTTTGGTATTAGGAGACAGTTATCAGATTAAATTATCAGATAGATCATTTGTTTTTATTCACGATTTTAATTTTCAGATATATTATACTTTAACATGATGAAGTTTATTGTAGTACTCTTATGTTTTGAAATTTTGACAGCACCATATGCTGAAGCTGGCCTAGCAGCTTATGGTATATGTCAAGCTGGTTGTTGTGCACTTGCTGTTGCTTGTTATGGAGCGGCTGGTGCTGCTTTTGGAAAATGTTCAGCAGCGTGTGTTGCTGCCGGTTGTGCACCAACACCATAACTATAAACTATTATATCAAATATTTTAATAGCCTTATTTTCAATTTTTTCTAATTTTGCTTCATAGAAGTTCATCTACCTTTACCAGTTTTTTATTACATAGAGATTATAGTGTATATTCAATAAACACAGATTTTTTTCATATAAAACCATCTTAATAAAACCAAAGGTAAGACAATTTCATTTACTAATATGATTTTTAATAAAAGATATCCGATCTAATAAAGATTATATGTAATTTTTGTATAGAAAATATTTATCTGATTTACAAGAGAATTATATAATTTAATCACGTATAGCTAAATTTATTACATATATCAGATTCTTTTGATTGTATTTTTTAAGCCTCAGACATAGAAAAAAAATCACAGAGAATCATTTAAGATTAATCTATGTGATAATACACGAAAAGATTTTATATTTGATTTTTGGGGTGATCATAGGGTTAAAAATGCCATGATGCTAGAAAGTATTTCTATAATCGAGAAACGTGCCATTTATCAGTAATAAATAGTTAGTTTGTTTACAAGATATCTATCGTTTCATTATATTCAACAATATTGATTGATAGTATGAGTGAGAATGTATCACCTGTAAATGTACTATTTTTGTGGCTTACACGTCACTGGGAAAAAACCCACTGAATGAATCATTTTTACAAAACGAAGAGCTAAAAATATCTCCACATTTACGTTACGTTTCTGTCTATGATATTATTATTACGCATTAAAAATAAATGTCTTCAAAGAGTAGAAGAAAGGTTTTTCAGAACGATTATTAAATTAATAATTGATTATAGTCAAGAAATAACTAAATCACAGAAAATTTATATCTGTGTAATAAGAGTAAATCATTTATTCAGTAATAAATGTTTCACTTTCTCTACAGTCTATTGTGCATATACATAAATACTATTTAAAATAAAATTCATATGAATGAAACCATAAAAAAATAGATTCAGACTATTCTAAATTTAGCTTAAATTCTACTATTATGTGAGAATAATTGTATGAATTCTATAGTATAGATTAAAATTTAAATTCTGGTATTTATTTTTACTATGCATTTATATCATTAACTATGCGTATACAGAGATAAAGTAGAAATTTTCTCTTACAGTTTTGAGAATCTTTTTTTCTGATTCCGTATTTATTTATAAAATTAATACAATTAGATGATAAACATTGCTTAAATGACCGTTGTTTTATACTTGTATAATTAAAACTTTTCTTATTAAAAGCAACACTTTATAGATATATTAATTCATCTGTCAAATCTGAGTATATTTACTACTATCATCGTAACAAAAAGTACTATACATTACATGTAGAGAACTTTCACTTAAATAGACATATGAAAATAAGAAACTGTTACTGATAGAAATAGAATTTATATTCGAGTCAAAATTTTTAAGATCATCGAAGTATACGTCGAAATTATTTCATTAGCATTTGAAATATTTATTTCACAATCACAAATCTGACTATTGATAAATATTTGTTCTCATGCTATAAAAAAAATACCCAGTCTTCTTAGTCATTCGCATATAAGAGTCTTCATTTGATTGCGAATAAAAAGTATTCGCAATTAACAACCACATTTTTTTCCCTTAACCTCATTACGTTTTTTTTCTCCATCTCATCATTTTCTCTTTTTTTTTACCAATCACTACTTTATATATCTTTTCCTTTCTTGTAAGCGCTTCAGACCGTCACAAATAAAGAACGCAAAAAGAAAAAAAATGTCATTTCATTCTATTATATATACGAGAGACATTCAGTAAGTTTTTATTATTTACTTTTTTCTTCTCATATTTAGACACACAATCGACGTAAAAAATGAAACTTGCAGTGATATTATGTTTTATCCTTTTAACAGCTACATGTATTGAAGGTGGTCCAGCGGCTTATGGTATATGTCAAGCTGGTTGCGCTGCTGTTACTGTTGCCTGTTACGCAGCGGCTGGTGCAGTTTTTGGGACGATTACTGCTGGAGTTGCTACAGCACCTGCCATATTGGCTTGTAATGTTGCTTTTGGACAATGTTCAGCAGCGTGTGTTGCTGCTGGTTTACTGCCAACACCATAATAACTGACTTGGAAAACTTTATAAACATATTTTTGAACTTTTCATTCAACCTTTTTTACACAATTTCATATTTTTGCTATCCTTATTAGATAAGTGATCGTAGTTGTACTATATTTTTTCTAAATATCAACAGTAATCCCTGATATGTATATATTTATAAATCGTTTTTCTTTTATCAAATAAAATATAAGATGTGTAACATTCATATAGTAAATCATAGTTATGCATTGTTGTATAGTTCAAAACTTTGAATTGAGAAAGTTTTATATATTAATGATACAAAAAACATTCATTTGCTGTAATTTTAATATATAAAATGACGCGTGTCTTAATTGAAAACTTCACACTTGCAAGAAAGACTCAATATCAATGTAGTCTATACCTTACTTTGTATATTTTTTAATTCTGTCAAAAAAGAGTATACTTGCGTTTATAATTCGTATTGAGAAAAAACTCCAATGCCATTATTTTTAAGTCACGAAGTGGTTAAAAAATATCTTCCGTTCCAGTATGACTTATCTATTTTGATTAAGATAAAATTATTGGTCTTACTTTGATGTGTAATTCACACTATATACTGAAACTCATTTATTTAAGTATAACTTATGTCAACCAAGCTATTTTCTTATGAAAACACAAAAAGTTATAAAACTGAAAGTATTTTTTACACTATTTTGCTCTATGCTAAATAAAAACTATAATAAAAAGAAGTTATATTTATCATAACGAGTTATACAGTCAATTGTTGTAAAATACATTTGGATTAATCGCTTATATATACATTAGAAGAGTTATAGTAAATGGGAATGGATTACACAGCTAAACTGTATATGTATATGATTTAATTTTATTCTGATATCTAAATGCAAATATAGTTATTTGCGTATTATCAACACGATAAATTATGCTTATATGAATTTTGATGAATATATCGATCCGTTTATAATAACATTTCTTTCAAATTAAATTTTCTTTTACTATGTACCGTACAATAATCCTATATCTATATTGAATTCAGGTGATTTTATATTTGCTGTATTATAAATCAATAGAACGAAAGCACTGATTCTTTTCTAAATCGAGATAGATGTAAATCGACTTAAATTTATAACATAATAAAGATTTTTTTTGCTTTAAACAATAAACTTTAAGATGGAAAGTTCCTCTATTCCATTTCTTTAATAGATAATTACACTGAGTATTTTAACCTTTAAGAATATAATGTTTGACTTTATTAGTTTTTAAATAGAGAACATATGACATGTGTTAAACAAAAAGAAACAAAATAAAATGCAAATATAACCCATGCATCACATATAAGTGTATAAACTAAAGATGCATATTTCATAAGTTCTGGTTTAAAACCTGATAACATAGCTGTTGTTATTAGAATATTTGTTCGATGTTTCATTTGCATCATATAATATCTTGATGTTAATATGCATGTCGAGCATGTAAAATAAATAAGAAAGAAAAAATTCGATTGAGATGATATATAAAATGAATATAAAAGTCCAACAAAAATTCCAAGAATAAATACGAGAATATGTTGTTTATCAAGTAAAATCATTTCTTTTGTATTTTCAGGTGCTGTTTTTGGTTTTAATAAAGATGAAAATATATTCATCATACTTGTTGCTGATGTAATGGTTGAAAATAGAGATGACCATGATGATGATGATTGTTGATTATTATTAGTTTGTGAAATAATTGGAGACGAACTTGTTACTTCTTCTGATTTTTTGAGAAGATCAGGAGGAGCTGGAACTGAAACAGGTAACATTGGTGGAATATCCGATGGCATTTCACTTCGATTAGCATCTCGAAGTTTAGCAAGACGCTTTTCTGAACCAGCCAGAATACGTTGACGACGTTCTTCAGCACTTAACATCTGAAAAGTATACATAAACGTAATAAGAGAAAATTAACAATTCATCAGATCAGTATGCATTAAAGAGTTGTGATATTTTTTATCAGATGAAAATAATAGCATTAGATATTTCCATGTGTACATACCGTCTAGTTTCTAATCAATATGATGACGAACTTTAGCGTAAAAGCTAAGTATAACTTGATTTCAATAAGATTACTGTGAAACATTGCCTGGAAAATATACAACATGTGTAAGCGATTCATACAGATGTGTGTTTGAAGAAAATGTTTAAGTCAGAGCTTATTCAATCACTAAGTATTTATGCAAGTCTCGGTATGATGACGAATCGTTCTGAAACTTAACTAGTCTATAGATTGTCTTTGTACAATCTAAATATAGATCCAAAAAATGATGAATCATTTCCATGACTTCTCGCATATTGTCAGTTAGAGAAATTCGAATTGCACAATATCTTTACTTCATAATCATTACTTATTGATGATTTCTTTAATGAGAACGTGATCGTCAAACTCTAATAGTTAAAAACATTTTCAGAAATCTTTGTTTTTTATATGGTTGACTGCTTAAGAATATACATCCAATCTAAAATATTTTCTAATTAAAAAGGACATATTTATTCCACAGACAATTTCGCGAGCTTTCATAGAATAAGATAATGATGTTAACTAATAAAAATCTAAAATCAGAATAAAACTTTCTGATTCAATACATAATGTACACGTTACTTGATGATATATCGTTGCAGCATAAAATTTTGAGTATGTGTTAAAATCATTTCATTGGCCCATTGATTTATCAATCTTAATATTATTTTCAGATGTCACTTTAGGAAATTTCTTCATTTGATTAAAATTTACTAAAACTATTTTCATACTAAATGAATTAGAAATTTATATTTTTCATTTAATAAATCATATCTTTTTATAATCCTTTCTTCTCCTTCCACCAATCAATATAAAGCTATTGATATTTGTTTATTCATTATTCTAATCGTCCACACACGCTAAGTGGTCACTCTTAGTTCTCTTTCTTTGTTATTATCATCGATCAAATAATTCATATAAAAACTAAACATTTCTTATATCATTCAGATCTAATAAAATGACCACAACACCAGCAACTGTTGGTCCTCATAGTCGTAAAAAGGTCTCTTATTATTATGATTTCGATGTTGGCAATTATTATTACGGGTAATTTATTTTCAGCTGAAAGACTTTTTTTTTAATTTTTTTTATTAAATAGACAAGGCCATCCGATGAAACCACATCGTATACGTATGACACATAATTTAATTCTTAATTATGGACTTTATCGTAAAATGGAAGTTTATGTATGTATAACGTAAAGGAATTTTTTTTTGTAAAATGAAATTTATTTTTATTTAGCGTCCACATAAAGCAATATGCGATGAAATGACACGTTTTCATAGCGATGAATATGTTAAATTTATTCAAAATATTCGACCAGATAATATACTTGATTTTAATAAACAAATGCAACGATTTAATGTTGGCGAAGATTGTCCCGTATTTGAAGGTCTTTATGAATTTTGTCAAATATCAGCTGGAGGATCGTTAGCTGGTGCCGTTAAACTTAATCGAAAATTAACCGATATTGCGATTAATTGGGCTGGCGGTCTTCATCATGCAAAAAAATCTGAAGCATCCGGATTTTGTTATATCAATGATATTGTTTTAGCTATTCTTGAATTACTAAAGTAAGTTTTTTGCAGAAAAAAAATATGTAAAATACTCTCATTTTTTATTAATTTAAGATATCACCAACGTGTACTTTATATTGATATTGATATTCATCATGGTGATGGAGTTGAAGAAGCATTCTATACAACAGATAGAGTTATGACGGTATCATTCCACAAGTTTGGAGAATATTTTCCGGGTACTGGCGATTTACGAGTAAGTCTTTTTACATTATTATTATTCTGCAAGGAGAAAAGTATAGACTACACAAAACTATTTAGAAGCTTGTACAATTCATTCAGTGTTCAGAAATACTTGAGAATACCTCTCATAGAATAGATCGTTCATTCAAGTTTCTATGACAATCTAATTAAAAAAATAGACAATTAATTTTCCACAAAACTAAAAACATCGTCTGTATATTTTGAATTTTAACTAACATAAAATAAATACAGGATTTTTATAGCTTAATATTGGAATTTCTTTACATTACATTTGTTCAAAAAAGTAAACTATTGTTTTCCCTTTAGGATATCGGAGCCGGTCGCGGTAAATACTATGCTGTTAATTTTCCATTACGTGATGGTATTGATGATGATTCCTACGAAACAATATTTAAACCAGTTATGACGAAAGTAATGGAATCGTATCAACCAAATGCTGTTGTACTTCAATGTGGAGCTGATTCACTTACTGGTGATCGTCTTGGTTGTTTTAATTTAACACTGAAAGGTATTTTCAGTAGTTATAGAGAAAATAATTTTTAATAAAAATATTTTTCTTTTTAGGACATGGCAAATGTGTAGAATTCATGAAGGGTTATAATCTACCTTTATTACTCGTTGGTGGTGGTGGTTATACAATCCGTAATGTCGCCCGTGCTTGGACATATGAAACAGCTATTGCACTAAACCAAGAAATTCCAAATGGTATGATTTACAAATGAATTTAAATATCCTCACTCAGTGTTAATCGAATAAGCCGATCTTTTTCATCATAGGAGAAAAACTATTTATGATCAGTATGAGTATTAGGAATATTTTCAGAACGTTTGTCATTGAACTTATTGATAAACTTCCACATCGATTATTAGACAGACGAAATTTGAAAGATGTCGAAACTTTGCTAAACTAGTACGTTCCTCATGCGCCTATAATAGTTGAATTCATATCTTCGCATTCTAATCTAGAATCATATATATCGTTGATGCTATCTAAAGAAATCGTTTAATATCCTGCAAGCCAAGAAACTTTATTTAGGACTTGTAATATGCTATATTTTAAATTAATTCTTTTTCTTTTATTAGAATTACCATACAATGATTATTTTGAATATTATGGACCTGACTTCAAATTACATATAAGTCCATCGAATATGCCTAATCAAAATAGTTCGGAATATTTAGATAAAATCAAGTAAATAATCAACAAAACAAAAATAATTTTATATTTAAATTACTTTTAATATTGAATAGAGTTAAACTTTTTGATAATCTTCGAATGTTGCCACATGTACCTGGTGTTCAAATGCAACGTAAGTAATATTATATTAAAAAGAATAGTATGATTAATTTTTATTCTTCTAGCAATTCCGGATGATGCTATGGATGTTGATCGAGTTGTTGATGAAGATAAAGATAATGATCCAGATAAAGTAAAGACAATGAAAAATGAATATAATGAAATTTATTAGGGAAAATCTATTTTTTAGCGTATATCACAAGTGCAACGTGATCGTAGTGTAGCTGATGAACGTGAATTATCTGATTCCGAAGATGAAGATGGTGATAATCGACGTAATCATGCAAATTTTAAACAACTTTCGAATAAACGTAAAGCTAGTTCGGATGCTGTTAATGGTACAACTGTTACTCAAGTTACGAAAGTTACTGAATCAACTGTTATCGTACCATCGACAAGTGATGAAATAGCATCAGCAGCAGAAGCAACAACTATAACAACAACAACAATAACAGCAGCAGCAACAGAAAATGGTTCAACTGATGAAATAACGCCATCAGAATCTGAAAAAATTATAACAACAACAACTGAAGAAGTTACAAAAACTATCACAGTTGTAGGTGAAAGTGAACCAATTGTAGCAGCAGTAGCAGCAGCATCAGCGGATGAATCTGCACCAATAGATGGCATGGATACGTCAGAGTAAGTTTTCTATAAAAAACAAAAATGAAAAATAATCTATTATTTATTGATATTATTTTTAGAACATCCTAATCTGTTTGTGCTTGAATTTCACAGCTACGTTAAATTCTTGTATCTGTGTGTATTTCGCTTTTCTTCTTCTTTTTCTCTCCTCTTGTCGTTTGTTAAAATATGTTATACTATTTGTAAAGAAACAAAAAAAACCAAAGAGTCTCTTATTCTTTTTTCTGTATGTATGTGTGTGTAGCTGTTCTCTACTGTGGTGTAAATGAAGTTTAACTATGTCTTCTTTTTCTTTTTTTTTCTCTGTGTTTGCAAAGACAAAAAAAAACAATGTGTGTTGATGTAAGAAAAAACAAGGAAGAAGATATGTATTCCAATATTGAAAAACAAAACTTTCTTATTAATGAAGAAGATATGCGTGTAAAAGTTTAATCAGATGATAAATAGTACAAATGGGTAGTTTCGTGTCATATATGCATTTGAAATAGACAGATTCTTATTTAATAGCAAAAGTTCGAGTATCAAATAAAAGATACATTGAGAGAAATTGAAGCTTACTTTACATCAGTACTATACTATGATAGGATAGCTGAACATATAAGCTTTTCTATGTTAGTTATTAGAAAAACAAAAATAGAGATGTCAGTAAGATTGACCTAAACAAGTCTTCTGACATAAAGAATAGAGAAAGATGCGACTTGTAATAGTTGTGAAGTAAACTTTGAGATTTTTTCGAAAATATAATTCATTAATTCTGTATTTGAGAAAAATCAATATCCAGACTAATGACTTGAGAACGTTAAATAAAATATCATTTGCAATGATAACCGCAGGAAACTGTTCAAATCACGAGTTTAATAACAACGATACAAGTATAGTATGTCGAATATGGTAGATTATGTACCTAGGATCGTAGCCTTTTTTTTCATTTTCACATAATGCACTATAAATATCAAATTGTACACATATGCAAAGCATTTCATTAGTTAATAGAAACCATCAGATGCATAGCTTTGCATTTCAAATTCAGTCGAAAAATGATCTGAAAAACGAAATTTTAGAGCTTTTGATAAAAGCACAACCATAAATTATACGTACCTTACGGTATCTTAACTATTTCAGCTACTTGAGTTATGTTTTATATTTTTATATTACCGAAATATAAATAATACAAGCAAAAAATCGTTAACATATATTTACTTTGTAGATTCTATTTGAGAGATACATAATAATGATATCTCAATATTTCAAAGTGGTTCACCAACATTCTAATCTTGTTTTGGTATATTAGATTTTTAATATTAGCCAGGTAGATCGTGGACTTTGATAAAATTTACCTGTAGTTGTTATATTTTTGTAGTTGAGAAATAAAACAAAATGGATTGTGATTATTATCTATATGTTTTATGTCTTATTCCATGTGGTTGTATGGAATTTTATATTTCAAAGACAAAATATTCATCAGCCTCATCATCATCAAAATCCGTATCGAAAGATCGTGGAACACTTTTTTTCATTTGGTTAATTATTATATGTTCCATTGCATTTTCTTCCTATTATGTTCGTTTAGGTTATGGATCGAAAATTATTAGTAATCATCTATTTAAATTTTACTTCTGGATACCATTTAGTATAAGTTTATATTTAATGGGTGTTTTTATACGAAAACAATCAATAGAACAATTAGGAAAATGGTTTACAACAGTTGTTCGTATAGATGAATGTCACGAATTAATTGATTCTGGATGGTATGGAAGAATGAGACATCCATCATATACCGGTACATTATTATATTTTCTTGGTTTAGCTTTATTATTAAACAATTGGTTGAGTTTATTTGGTTTAATTATACCTATTTATTCAGTCTTTTTTTATCGTATTCATATCGAAGAACAAGAATTAAGAAAACATTTTGGAATTAAATATGAAGAATATAGACATAAAGTACCAAATATTCTTATTCCAAAAATATTTTAATAATTTATTTTTTTTTTCTCTTGACTATTTTATTTTTTATATAAAAATATCAATAAATAACCATTTAGTCAGCTTAGTAAATTTTTATATCATATAAATATATGAAAATAACTATAAAGTTAATATTTCAAAATGCACTCAAGAGAAAGTGTGAACGAGTTTGTTTATTTATATAATACAGATATATGATTATTGGACGTATATATTCATTAGAAACAATAAAAAGATAAAATAATGTGCGTCACGCTTGATTAGATGATCAATTTGATATTTGTATACTAGAAGTAAATACAAAAGAAATCAAATCAAAATATTTCTACCATGTTGCTATTAAGTATTGTATTAATCGCTGTATCTATTGCTGGTCAAACAGGTCAGTTTTTTTTTAATTCCAAAGAAATATCGATTAAATTCGTAAATATTGATTAGGTCAAGAGACTTCTACTGCTGGTTCTACAGATTTTCCAACGACTTCTTCATATGGTTATACAGATTATCAAACAGCATCAACAGATAATTGTACAGGAAGTGCATCTATCTGTACAGAACAACTTCCATTTAATATAAGCAATCCACCAGATGTATGGCTTGATGCAAGAGTTAGTGTTCCAACAATAGACTTACGTGTAGATAATATTCAAGCTCGTTTAAATCTTGATCTACGTGTAACATCACTTGTTAATATAACTGCTGGTGTATCCGTTAGTATTTCATCTGTTGAATTAAAAATTCTCGGTAAGATACAAGTTAACTATTTTTCTTTATGAAATAAATTTCTTTGTTTTAGGTGTTAGTGCTCATGTTCAATTGGCTGTGAAATTTGATAAAATTGTCGAGATTGTTAATCGAACACTTGAATCACTTGATCTTAATCCTCTTCTTGCAACAACGATCAAAGGTGTTCAAAATACAGTCAACAATATTGTCTAAAGACAATTCTTTTCTTTTCTTTCTTCCTTTGTTCTTTTTTTTTTATCGATATAATAAATTGGAAAAAATATACTAATTCATCATTTTGCACTCATGACAATTATAAATAGAGATTCAAATCAGACGATAAATATGTTTACTCAGTTGCCTCTATTGTTTTCTTATTCAAGGTGAAAATATTATTGCGAATACTGTATATGTATATAGATAAAAGATAATTACATTTATTCATATCATAAAGATTCATGGCTTTGATCAACCAATATGCGATTTGTTTTTTATCTACATTGATAATTATTATTTCTATTCCTAATTTGATATTAGCGGATACAACTACTTCAACATGTCCAAACAATATAAATTCTACTTGTACTATTTTACCATTTAATATTAGTAATCCACCGGATGTTTGGCTTAATGTACCAGATTTAAGTGTTCAAGAAATTTCATTAGTTGTTGAAGATATTCAAGCACATGTAAGCATTTCAGCTAATGTTGCTGGTTTAGTTTCACTAAATGCGGGTGTTGATGTATCTATTGCTAAAGTTAATTTAACTATCTTAGGTAAGATTAATAAATACAATTTCTTTTTAAATTAATCTTATTGTTCTATATAGGTGTTAAAGCTCAAGTACAATTAGCTGTATATCTTGATAATATAGCTAAAATTGTTACACGAACAATGGCTTCACTTGATCTTAATCCTTTATTAACATCAGTTGTTAATGGAGTTTTTCAAACAGTTGATAATTTACTTGGTACACTTACACAAAATGGAACACTTATTAATCAAATTATTGATAGTAGTAAGCAATAGAATTTATTTAATATATCAAAAATATATATAATATCTAATTTTATTTAGCTGGCCAAATTGTCAATCAAGTTTTAGGTACTGCAGGAAATGTTCTATCATCAGTTGTTGTTGGTAATTTTCAGCAAAATATGACATTGACTGGTATTACAAGCACTCAAGCCAATGGAGATGTTATTAAACAATATAGTTATCCACCACCAGCTGGTTCATCATCAAATGCTAATATACTTGTTAATGTAGTTTTTGATTCAACAGGTAATGTATTGAGTGCCACTGTCGTCAATCCTTCATCAACAGCAACTAGTACAACTAGTTCTGCTACAGCTCCTAATACTGCTGCAACAGTGACTGGTACTGGCCCTACTGTCACTGTTACTACTGCAACAATGACTAGTGCTGTTCCAACTGTCACTAGTACTACAACTACTACAACTGCAGCTGTTCAAAAATAACAATACTTTTTTTTTCTTTTTGTAGTTTCTTTTTATGTTGTTTAAAACTTTTTTCAAAATAGAACTTTATTAAATTGTCTGTGGAGAAAAATATTCATTTAATCATGCACAAAAAAAACTCTTTGTAAATGTCATCAATAATAAAAGTGAATTCCAAACACAATCATAGAAATTGCATATATCCGAGAATTGATAGTTATACAATAAAATAGATCTTGTATTATTATTTTCATTTATGAAGGCAAAATATCTCTTTCAGAATTGAATGTAAACGTTTTAGTATTAAAGCGTGAGTTTAACTAAACGATATATATATCTTTAGTCTTAAATAAAAAAAGTAATGACTTTGTTGAAGTTAATTTTTCTTCACATAAATATTTCTATTCAATAAATAGATACTGTTCTAGGTATAGATATATAACATTTCAATATTCAAAACAGTCATAAAAAAAGGTCCCGTATGATTACATACAAATGTTTAGACACTTGTAATAATACAATATAACTTTTTCTATGATTGATATTTATTTGTGTTCTTCTTTCACGGACAATCTTTACGACCGTTTTGAATTGAGTATTGTAGACAAGATGCAAAGTACAAGTTTTTTTATAGCTGATAAAAATCACATGTTTAAAGAATGTCATGTGATGATTTAAGTGTATATTGATCATCGTTTCTAACGTGCATTTAGGTCATATCAGTTTAGTTAATATAGTATAAGAGTAAAATAATATTAAATTTTAGATATTCAGTTTTATGTAAAATATATTTACTAAATTCAAGTATCGAAATAATTCTTATGATTGTTATGAATTTTTGCTTTTATATCAATATCAAGAGTTTTAAAGTTAAAGGTAATTGTACTTGTACTAATGGGGCAAAGGTTACTTGGAGTTATTCAAATTGATGGGAATGAATCCCAGTGCTCGAATGGGATTTCTCTTTCCTCGACTTACATACACACACACACGAATTAATCATTTTTTTCCCTTTCTCTGCCGCTCGAGTATATTTCTACACACACGTGATACAAAGAAAAAGAACGGAAGAATTTAGAGACACATATATATACCTAGAAAAGAATATCAATTGTCTTTAGTTGAAGAATGCGTAGAACTTATTTAATAAAAATTTACTGCAAAAAAAATTATGCTCAACCTTGGGATGTATATATAACAGGAACCACAAATGATGGTCAAGGACGAGATACAAAAGGTGATATATTCAAACATTAATAGTATTAATATTGCCAATATAAATGTATTATTTCAAAAACAATCAGAATTAACTGGTGTTTATAATCAATAACTTCTTATGAACATTGTTTGTGTAAATTACTATTTCAGTAAAAAACATAATTAACAATTTGTACAATGTTTTGTTATTTATATTGTAAATAAAAATAATCTCATGTATCATATGACTTTTTATGTTTTCTTATATTATAAATAATATTACACATACAAATATGTTTTATCTTATTCTATTTTGAAGTTTGCTATAAGTGAAATGTTGATCATAGTAAACTGATTGAAATACATGACATAAGTCATTTTACAATGATTCGATAAGAAAACAAAAACACTTAACACATATCATTATCATTGCATAATTATCATAGATGCCTTTCGTGAATAGATATAGTACGAGATGTATTTTGATTAATATTAGCATAATAGTACCAATCTTTTCTTAGATAAACATTTATAACACTTCACTATTTATTCAATCTATGTTGAGTAATATAAATGATTTCTAATCGAATAAAAACATTTCCTGTATCTGATATTATTTTGAGAAGTCAAGAGAGCAAGCATCGTCATACTAGTTAAATAAATATAATTGACTTAACTTTCTATATTCTAATTTATTAAGACAAGCAAAACTAATCTGTATAAAATAGTTACATGAAAAGTTATTTACTACGTAGACAAATCTTCAAGAACAATATTCTTTTTTTTTATTACAAGCACTATTTTTGTAACTACAGACATCATATCAATGGACAAAGGATAGTAATCTTCATTGATCGACATATATCTTATGATTTAACATAATTTTGTGCAATTACTTTCACAATTAAAATAATTAGTCGATAGATTATAAGTATGAGTTTAAAAGCTTCAATATATAAATTTAGCAACACAAATATACTGTAAGGACAAACATTAGTATGGCAATAATCAAAGTAAAAGCTATATTAATAATTTCTTGTCGAAGATTTTTTAATATTCTAAATGGTAGAAATTTTCTCGTATATATATTTCAATAAGTGACAAGTGGTCTTGAAAATATTCATTCTCTAAAAATAAAATTACAGGGTAGTCTTTTTTTGCAACCTTTTATTTCAGTATTAATCATCATAGATTTTTCTAACACTAGAGAAAAATAAATACAAAGTAAACCTATATTTAGGATAGTTATTCAAAAATAGAAACAGATTCTTAGTTATATATTTTTAATATTCTTTCCTTCGATTCACAAATAACATCCATTAATATAAAAACAAAATTATATATACAAATACACAATTACACGAGAACTTCAGGTAAGGATGCAGGAAATTGATAAAAGAAAAATCTTGAACTATGCCAGTAGTGTCAAGTTAGATAGTTAAATTTGATTATTTAATTATTCATCTTTGTTCGTTTATACATAACCTCTTATCCTCACTTTGTATTTTCCGTTCCTTAGAGATACTCCTTCCACTTTTGATAAATAGCTGAAGCAATACTTGAATTCAGATTTTTGTCTATTCCTTAGATTCTAATCATAGCGTTTAAAAACAGAAATTCATCTGTATTCGTCTATCTATCTGTTACTATGCTATAAATAGAATTTTTTATATAGGAGAAGAGACAATCTTAATAATATTAGAAAATTTCTTTTGACTGTTACCAGGCAATTATCTGAAGATATTTTAAAGTGTTACAAAACAGAACGAGAGAATTAAAAAAAAATTTCTTTTTATTGTCGATATGTAAGTATGTGAAGAATATTCACTCTAACTAAATAAAGAAAGCAGCTATGTGTACTCAGATAGATAAAATTAAATTATACTATACTCTTACATCGATTTTTTTCGCATTTATCATATTATTTTTTAGAAATTTTTTCAAAATCTTCTCAGTTATCAGATTGCTTGGTAAAAAGGAATCTCTATATCTTGTTCCTTTCTCTAATTAAATAGTGGCAATGAATTAAATATTCACTGTTTAGTGTTAAATACAATGAGATCACATCAAATGGGTCCATTTCATTTGTAAGTGCTAATAAGCAATAGTACACGAAAGACTGAAGCGTAGGTTATCTATCGTATTGTAATACAGGACATTATCTTAGATTGAGTGCTGATGATTAGCCTTATATGTTCTATTAATTTTCTTATTTATATATCAATTAATAGTGAAAAAATATAGTATCTTTTGTTTCATAATAAATACATCAATAGAACGAAAAAACTATAATTAACAGTAAAGAAAAGCGATAACACAATATAATTTTCAGTAAATTTAATTAAACAAAAATTCAATCATGTTCTTCAAGGCCGACGACAAGAAAATGGTAGAAATATTTGTAAGCTAATTGATTTTTATTTAAATTAAGATTGTTTTGCGTATATGCGCAACTGTAATACATAATTCATAGTTTTTTTTGAGTGTAATAAGGAATTAATAAAGTAGAACTACTATTAAGTTAAGATATTCCATATATGTTAAAACGAAGTAGATTTTTTACAATGATTTAATACAACTATCACTCATCGATGCGACTTACGTGATTCTCCATTGAGTTAGCTATGTTTGTTCTGTTATCTACGGCACACACATGCAATTGAATAATTTATAATGTCTACAAACGTATTGTTCTTTATAAATGAAAGATAGAAAGGAAAGAAATTAGAATGTATCACCACTTAGATTTTCACGCATTTAATTTCAGTTTTAGTCAATAGTACTAAATACTAAAATCTTTTTTTATTAATTAGTTAACATAATTTAGAATTCGATCTGATAAACTCATAGCAAATTAAGGTTACCGAGACTTATACAATATCCTAGAACTGAAGTTTTTCTGTTATATTTCGCTAGGTTCCCTAATATTTTAATATCAAATACTAATTCCAAAGAAATACAAATATTTTTATTGTATGGTTTCCTATACTGTGAAATTATAGTCTAGAAATGAAAATTGATCTACGTCTGTATATTTGTTTATTTATGGGATACTCACACTTGACTATTTTCCTATTGTTCGAAGAGTGTACGAATACTAAAAAGAGTACTCATACAAAACTGTTACAGTTTCCCTATGAGTTAAATGTTATCAGAAATTGAAAATTATTACTATCAATAAAATAAATTTCCTATGAATTGTTGTATGTTTATGCGGAGCATATGGCGACAGGATTTAATCCTAAACAGTAGTCAGACGATGATTTTAAACATATAATTATTATTAAATAAAATCACATTATTTGAAAGGTATGAAATTTATATTTCGATATTAAAAAAAGTGATAAGATAGCTAATTGTAAATATTTCAAGTTCATATACTAATACTTAACAACTGAGATATTAATTTAAATATCTAACTATGAGAAACTTGTGTTGATACCTATTTTACTAGCATTATTTGCATTGTATTTGAAAAAATAGAAAATAAATTTTTTTTTACAAAAAATTATGAAAGTAAAGAAATATTGTATCTATGCATCAGCTCGATTGTTCAGAAAACCTTTGAGTCTTTTAAGACATATTTTCATCTCATTAATTCTATCCATCAACTACTATCGTTATTATATACTCAAAGCTACATGTGACTATACTTTCATAGCTGTACCATTAGTCTGAGAATATGTGAATCAGCACGCTGATGTAGGTTACCTATCATATATATATATATATATATATATGATAAATATAGATTTCTATGCGTGATGTATACTATAAAAGAAGTTCCTTTTTACTACCAACACAATTTATTCACTTTGAATATACAAAGCTGTATGGTATCCATTTTTTATATAATTTGATATGGACGCTTGTAGTTGTTTAATATACTTTTTTTCTTTTCTTTTCTCTTATTTAAAAAAAAACTAGATCACTCGACGAGAAGTAAAAAACGGCAAAAAATCATCTGAAGGAGAGAATTTTTATTTCAATATTTGATTTTGTTCTAGTCAACAACTAAAACGTATTTCTACCGATGCTATAATAAAATTCAAGAAATTCCTAAAGTATGTAAATAGATTTTTGAGAGTGTTAAACACCAGTAATAATTTCTCGTTTCGTATCTTTTGCTTTCTTATATTCATTATACATTCTCTCTTTCTCTCTCCTTCTTAATAGTTGTTTTGATTGAATGGCATTAACTACATAATATTACATTTTTAGATTTCATGTCAAACAATAAATTAAATGTTGCATTTACATTCATCGTTCTTTTTTATTAATGTATTGATATGAGTTGTTTCGTATAACTGCACGATTTCTTTTATTTATATGTAACATGCAAGAAAAGAAAAATTTCAAAAATTTGGTTTATCGATCGATACTCAATAAATATTACACAAAAGTCAATGTGTCAAACTAAAATTCCATAATATATGATTAGTAATATTTATATTTGAACTAACTTCAATATCTTTAGACTGATATTACTTTTTTCTTGTTTTATATTAGGGTTATTTATTCAAGTTATATAACATTTCAGTTTATAATCAAATATTTTTCTTCTTTTTTATTAATTGAATTTAAGATCGATGACGTTATTTTTGGAAGTATAAAATTCTTACAGCAAACTGTTATAAAAAATCTAGATTTTCTTTTTTAATATTGTCATTTGTTTTCCACTTCTTCACGTTCTGTTTGTATATGATGTCGAGAGGTGAACGTCACATCGGAAAGCAAAAAATGATTTCCATAGAAAGAAATAACACAGGAACAAAAAAAAGGTTTTCTTCACTTCATTTTATTAGTTTCTTTTTTCTACATTTATGTTATTCAAAGTTAGTTAGATTTATATTAGATATATGTATTTGTGTATATGATATTCTACATCACAACATTCTAGTTGTTAGGTGTTAGTATAGTAACTGAATCATCGCTCATCACTTACATTCAATAGCAGCGTACCATTAAGAAGATGCAATTAGGAATGAAAAATAAATAATGAGTTTCATGTGTGCTTCACCCACTATTTTAATCACTTAAGGTTGCTCTTGATTAATTAATAATCTGAAAAAAAGTTGAGAAGAGTATGATAATAATAGTTTGACATATTGAATAAAAATAGAACAAAATTATTTAGCACATAATAACAAGAAGAAAATAGTTGATTATTTGATTAGGGGGTGATTACTGGACTTCTATTCAGCTGTTTCTCCCTTGCTCAATACTTATAATTAATACGAATATGTGATTTATTTAGAAGATGCGTTCAATTATTTCGGCTCGTCGTATACGTTTTTGTCTATTGCTACTCTTAATCTATTTCATCCTTAATTTTTATATTAAATTTACTGATGTCTCCAGTATTCGTCAGAGCATTGTTAACTTTAAGTGGCATCAATCTGAAATCATTGATCATCAATTATGTATAACAGAGCCATGCTCACTTGATTCTCGCATTAATACTATTATATGGACTCATGATGGAACTGGACTGATGAAATATATTCAATGGATTGCCACAAGAAAACTAGCTAATATTAGAATTAGTCAACTCGATGATGATTGTTGTATTATAAAAGAAAACTATTTTTCTTCTTCTTCATCGTCACCAATAATTCATAAATTTATTCAGATCTATATTATATCACTATCAGCTAACATAACTCAACCATCCGTATGTTTTACGAAGATTAAACAAACAGCAAATACTAATGTTACTGGTATAAATCAAATATATTTTAGAAGAAAATCTATTCATGCAACAATTCTATTTCAACAATTAGATCTATTTAAAAAGAAGCACAATTCTCATGCACAAACTGATAGTTCATATTTTACTTCAAAAATTAGCAAAGCAAGAGCAATCATTCAATATTTACAAAACTATTTTACTACTATTTCATTTACGAAATGGAAAATTATTAATTCAGAAGATTTAGTTCATAGACATTTAACTGATTGTGAAAAATCATTAACTAGTTTTCTGACATTATTAGGACTTAATACTTCAGATACAGTACTCAAAAATGTATTAACTTATGACTCTCATCGATTTATTGATGATGCTATTTGGTGGGATCAATCCGAAGTAGGCGAACGCATTTTAAATAGGTCAATACCAACTCGTCCATCTAATTTAACATATTCTAATGATTTTTATCATTTACATGGTACTCGTTCATTTGAACAATATTCAGCTGATAGTCGACAATGTTATCGAGATGGCACGTTTGCACAAATACCATCTGAAACAGTTTCTAATCGAAAATCAACCGATTCACCAAATCGTTGTCTAACAAATTCGTTTGATTGTAGATTTAGTGATATATATTCATTTGATGATCGTGAACAATTATATGAAGAAAGTAATCGTAATGATTACTTTAGTATCAAACCAATCAAATGTGGTTTTGCAGTTCCATCGATATTTGATAAAATTAGAGAACGTTTTGCTCGTAATCACACATGTGAAACTATTATTTTAACATCGATTATAAATTGTTATGATAATCTACCTGGAACAGAAGGTAACATTCCGTCTTCATTCTGTTATGTTGCTTTACTTGATACTAAAACATTTAATGCTTTACAACCTCCTCCTCCACAACCTCAACGTCAAACTCATTGGACTTTAATTGATTTAGGTGATAATGCTGCATTATTTAGTTTTCCTGCAAAGACAATAGAAACATTGAAAACTTGTGGACAACGAATGTTTCCACTAGCAAAATGGATTATTTGGCTTGATGGTAAAGCATACTTGATGAGAATCGCTGAACTTTTAACTCAAGCACAAAGTTCAGTGTTTGCTCCTCGTCATACTACGATTGATCGAACATCAGCGATCGAAGTCAATTATACAATCGAACGGATACGTGAACGAGAAACAGAATCACCGAAAAATTTCGATAAATTTGTGATGGATATTAAACGTCAAGAAAAAGAATATATACGTGATGGATTTTATTCTCGTGCTGATAAACTTAATTTAACATTATATGATATTGCATTATTTGTCTATCGAAATAATCATCCTTGTAATTTTCGTTATTTATGTGGATGGCATAATGAAGTGAATTATTTTGCATACAGAGGACAACTATCAGTTTATTATTCAGCTATTAGATTAAATCTAATACAGCATTTACATTACTTACCAAGAAACTTTTATCATACATTTGGGCATTCACAAATTTGTTCGTTGGCAGTGCCACAACCGAGCCCGGTTCAGAAAAACGGTACTAGTCCGACTGGACCTGAACTGGATCGGATCGATTAAGAATAGTGTCCTACGACATGGTCCGAGGCATAGGCTTGGATAAGATTCGCTAAACTGATTCGATTGCTGGGTATTAAAACAAATTAGGTCAGGATGCGCGCTGGTAACCGGTGATATCACAAAATTTGGGAGTCTTTAATTTCTTTCGCATTTATTAATATAAAACATAGAGTCAAATTTAGATCATTTTTTTTTCTTTGTTGCTTATAAATGAACTGGAGTGTTATATTACTTTTTTTTCTGTTAAAATAAATCTTTAAAAAAGTTATCATATTTCTTAAAGCATCTGCCGATTCGAGTGCAAAAACTTGTAACTGTGCAAGACTCTAGGTAAGAGGAGACACCGGTCCGAAAAAGTACCGGTTGCATTTTTTTAGAAAGACCTTCGTTTTTCTCGTCTTTTCAGTCAAAAAAATGTTTTATCAATCTTCCTCTCAAATCGTTGAAAGAATACGCTGTCGATATACCTATAAAAAGTTTTTTGAACTGTCGGTAACGCAAGATTTTATTCAGTATAGAATAAATATTAGCTGTAATAAAAAATATAGCAACTTGACATAATGTACTTTCAAAAAAATAAAAATTAATAAATGTGTCCAATCAGTGCATGTTTATATTATTTTCTTGGATTCTGTTCTCTGTTAGATTGTAATGTGTTGTCAAATTCTGTTAATGCTTCATTAGAAAAAACTGTTGGAACTGCTTTTCTCGAGTAAGATTGTGTTTTTTTCACACGTCTCAATGTCGATCGTTTATGCGGTCCATTGAATGATTGATTTAGTCGAGAACGAGTAGGAAATGAAACAATCGGTGCAGTAAATGTATTGGCACGTTGTTTACCTATATGAATGATATCCCAACGGCGACGTCGTTCACGTTCGAACCGTTCATACCATTTTAATGGTAGAAGTTTAATGAAATGTTCATAGAAGATGAAATATTCTTTTTGTGCCGATGCTGGATTACTGTAAGGTTGGTAATGGCAGAAATCCAAGAACATCGGTTGATCTTCTTCGTACATATCGAGAATATTTTTCACCAAACAGGAGACTTTCTCTTCACTTTCTGCTGTCAGTAGTTCGCGATCATTCTCATTGAAAATATCAAGATTAAAGTTTTTCACATACATCTGTAGATCATTCATATCGAACAGTGTTGTAGAGGTTGCTCCTGAGCTTGCTTCCTGTATAATTATGGATTGTCGATGGTCATACTTGCCAGATAATGTAAATTCATTCGCAGGATTAGTGTTTGATTTTATAAAAGTAGCCGTACTTTGTTTTTGTCCTTTCAAACTAGTTCGATTACGATCACGAGTCAGTTTAACATCATGTTTAAAGAATGCTTGAATCGTTTCATTGGTTTGATGGAGAGGTACAACTTCTTTAATACGAAGAATAATCAGGGCCATAATAATAATACATACGATATTCACCAAAGTTAAAAGGAAACTGCAAGCACCAAGTATCGCTGCTTCGTATGCCATATTGCACGAATAGTATGGTTCATAATGGTTCTGCATTGGCCTGGAGCAATTGGCGATAGGTCCATTTGAATGAAGTCGATTTTGAAACGAAAAATATTCCACATGTGTTCGTTCACTCGATCCTTTGCTGCTATAATCCCAAGCATCGTTAAATATTAACTGAGCGAAGATTGCATAGGCAAAGAGAAGTCCGCAATTGACTGCGGGAGGCAAAAGAGAAGCTAAACATGATTGTTGAAGAAATGGATTTGTTAAAGAAAAAGGTCACATACCAGATATTGCCACACCCACTAATGAGCCTATTGTCACAAAAAAGATATGAAGTCGAAATTCTGTTATACCTGTTCTTACCTGTATTGCCACCGAGTATAGACAAAGCAACACCAGCACCGCTAGGCACAGCAATGAGAACACCAACCCACAATCGTTTGAGATCACCGCGTGCCTTCATTTCCGATGTAGGAAAACTTGATGAACTTCCCCAATTGGTTCCGGTATAAGTTGTACATAGTCTAGAACAATTTTATCGAAAACATAATTCTTCAAATATTTTACTTACCCAATGATGAAACCCCATAGAATACAAAGAACTAGACCAATAACTTCGTTTCGAATGCTTTGTCGCCACAAAGACGTTTCGTGTACTGATACACCAAACACAATACCCATGATTGGATTCATCAATGGACTGACCAGCATACTAGCCACAAGAATTACAGACGAGCTTTCCAGAAGACCAACGGCAGCAAGCATCGAAGCCAGACTGAGTAGTACAACAAAGTCGAAAGACAATGCACTAGCGGCACGAATCCCAGCTATAACCTGATGAACCATTAGTCTAGCTCGAACACTTTTCTTAAAATCGGACTCGCTGAAAGTCTTCCAAATGCTTTTTTTCATCGTTGTGTCTGAGACTATTGATTGCGAATGATCGAGCTGTTTCATATCGGCAATTTGATTCGTTGTATTAGTAGTTAAGGTAATATCCGATACCTTATTACGAGATCCAACAAGAACCATTGCTGGAATTACACAAACTTGACTGCCACTTCTGTTACCTATATCGAGCTCGTATAAATCACGTAAGATTCGATCACTTATTACACCGAATTCAGCATGAAATGTCACCTGAACAGTCTTCTGATCAGTTGATGGTACCCACATTGGTTCTTCATTGATATTCTTGGCTAGATAAACTTTCAAACTAGCCAATAATGATTGTACTGAATCCTAATAATAAAAGAAGAAATATAATAATTCGATATATCAATATGGAAATTAAACTTTTACATTTGTTTCTTGCTGATGTTTCTCTTCCTGCTGATCGATGGGAATGGTGACAATAAAGAGCGCACGGTCTGTGGCCATAGAGATGTCTTTTGTATATGAAAATCAATAATCTGAAATTCATTAACAGTAATTAAAAATTAGATTAATAGGTGTAATCGGCCTGTTAGACTTATTATCGATAAGAATATCTTGGGATCAAAAATTCTTTGCATCGAAAATGCAATATCAACATCGTATGAGATATATAAAATGGCGATCGAGCAAAAAAAAACTAAAATTACATACAGTTTCGTGTTATTTTTCGATGACTAAAATGTTTTACGTCACAATTACAATCATAAGAATGGCGTTGTTGACAATCATGCAAAGGTCAATTGACGATATATGACAGTATGATATATTTCAAAAAAATTTCTTCTTATATAATCCGTTAGAGAAAAGAAATCTCTATTTTCTAAGATATTTGATCATACTTCACATAATATGATGGTTATAAATTCTCGATAAGACTCGCGTCATTATCATTCGTGCTCATTGTAAATTTTCATCACATGTTTTTTGTTACTTTTATACACGCTATTAAAAAGCAAAGCATAATGACATATTTTATTCGTAGGTAATAAGAATGCCTTTATTTCGAAATCAATTCTTCGCTTTTATGTTGATTCTGTCTCCTTGAACAAATACATCCGCCGTGAGAGACGAGAAAGAAGGAAAAGAAAGAGATAATTTGATAGACTGAAGTTCCGATTCTAAGAACACAAACAAATATTGTGAATATGTATAAATAAACTACTATGTAGTTAAACGTGAGCAACCAGCAATACATAAAAGATAAAAAACATCATCTTGGGGAACAACGCAAATGATAAAAACGAAAATAAATATGATGAAAGGAAGAGAAATAAAGTAGAAGAAAAAAAGTTCTTTTTTTTACAAAGGAACTCGTTTTTTCGACTTGTATATACGCAGTTTGTTTTTGAAACAGAACTTTTACTGATATTAGTTTATGACATCACATATGCACATAATATAAAAATTTAAAGACAAAAGCAATAACGAGAATGAAAAAGCATATGCAAGTGCTTGTCATACAAAAGTCGAAACACAAAGAAACGAGAGAGAGAGGATGTATGACGTCTTGTCTACTGTTCATATTGCATATGTCTTTCGTTTGTTTTAATTGTTAGTCATATACTGGTGCATGTATTTGTGAATAATTGTCGACGTTGTGTGTCATACATTGAGGACGGGTGCGAGATAAAAAAAGATACATCCACGTCGGCACCCGCAAACACACCCTCAATTAAAAAATAAAGTATTATAATGTAATAAAAATCCATACTACAGTGGAACCTCTATTAATGAACACCTCTGACCTCCGAACAATGAACGCTTTTTCTGGGCCTTTCTGTAGAAAAAACCTCTATAGAGTGAACACACAGTGATTAACTGTACGTTCTTCTATGAAATACAGAGTTGAAAAAATATGCTGTACATATTAAGGAAATGATAAATCAGTTTTTGACGGTCAACTCATCATAACAAGCTCTATCGTATGCATGGATCAAACAGAACAATGTGATTAATCGGTGATGAGTTAATCGATTCTATATGACAGAGCAGCATGCATTCTATCTTCGATTGTAAAATGAAACAGAACACACACGTTAACTTTGTCTAAAAAAACGCAATTAATTCGTGAAAATGAAAATAACGCTTCATATCGTACAATTGTTCAGAAGTACAAAATCTCGGTCGGTAATATCTCGATTAACGACTTTTCTTAGAAAAAATAAATAGATATAGATAATAGACAAAAATGCTTTTTTTTACTAGTTTTTGTTTAAAACGAAATAGATCGTTAATATTTTAAGAATAAAAAAATGTTTTTTTTATTTTTTACTTGATAATTGAATAAATATGCGTAATAATTGAAAAAGATAATGTTTTAGAATTAATAGTAATAGATTTTAATATCATTTGTCTATACTAATCTTATATGGTGTACATCTAAACCTTTATTCAATATGAAACCTCTCTAAGATGAACACCTCCTCTAATGAACACTTTTTAG